CAGCAGTTCTCATGCAGGGTTCTTTTGCTGAATACTGTACAGTATATGCTCCTACACAGAAAAGTGAAAACATTTATGGAGCAGACGTTGGGACTGTCAATAATGGTGTGCAGCAATATCAACTTCAAATAAGGATATTATTTACAGATTGTGTTTTTCTAATGTATTCATTGTACACAGTCTACTAACATAACATTGACATTCAAACATTCTATGCACAGTTTTATTTATCCAGACAGCTCATTTTTGTCTTCCACTGGTTCCCTTTTCTATGCTTCCATTATTTCCACATGGACAACCCCCATGATTGAGCATGTTTGTTAAACTATACAATGTGCTAACCCCAAAACTACTGTCTTATAAAGAAAAGTACAATAACATAGCTCCTGGCATCCCGGGTTTCCTGCACTTGTTGGGGCTGTTGAATGGAAAGGTCTTGAAGTAGAGATATAAATAAAAGCCTGTCCCAGGTCTCGAGAGATCTCAGAGCTATTCCAGCATTGAGAACAAGTGGAGGATGACTGCCGACTGTCACTGTATGTTAAATATCTCAACTCACAGCTTGCCAGTCACGTTGACTTCACTGTTCCTCTAAAGATTTAGCTTGTAACTCATACAAATATACATATATTTATCATTCAGCTGCATCTGCTTGTTTTGCTTTATTGTGTTTAGAAAAATAGGTACACCTGCCGCACATATACAAGGACCCTGTGTTCACTAGGCGGCCGGGGTTGGGGATCAAGTCATTATTTCTTCCTGAATATTTTAATTTCTTTCTTTTTCTGATAATTGTGATAGAATTCAGAGTATTTATTTTCCCTAACAGTGAAGATCAGAAGAATGTTGGACTTTAACTGAGAATGGGTTTTGACCAGCATTACTAAACATCCTTTACTGTGTATGCTGAAATCATGTCAAATGCTCTGCAACACACTTGTTTACATAGAATGTCAGCATATTCAGCAAAATAGTGCAAGAAGCACAGTGAAGTACAATTAGCCCTTGGAATCCATATTGTACTGTCCTGTTTAAGTAAAATACATTCTGATTGGTTGTTGTATTTTTGTAAATCGGATTTTTTTTTTTACAAGACTTCTATTGATGGACAGGGCAGATAGGCAAGAAGAACCAATTAATGTCTTGCATAGGGCAATATTTGGCAACACAAAATAACAGTATTTTTAACAATTTTAGATCATGACCCTTACGGCACAACCAATACC